TAATATTGTATACTTTCAATCAAAAAGTATATAAATAAGACAATTTTTTCAACATTTTATTTATATTATATTTATTTGTGGTTAAAAAAAAAAAGCCACAATAATACTCGCTAATCGAAATTATTCGAGATATTAATTTTTCAACGAACGTTTATTTATTTATATTAATGCAATATCGTTGCATAGTTTAAAAACGTACAAAAAAACAATCTTTAGTGTCACGAGAATAATTTAAACATTTTTATATATATATTCTCTGTAATGTAACAAATATATTATTCTGATTTAATTACAAAAAAAAGAAAAAAGTAACAGTGATTCTCAACTTATATTATCGATCAAAATACTCATGTTGTTCGAAAAGTTTATTTAATCGAATGAAAATAAAAAATATTACTTCTGCTCGTAAAACAATGAGAATACAAAAAAAAACTGATGTATGTACTTATGTACGCACGTAAGAAGTTATACTTCTTTAGCGTACCAAAACGAATATAACCTTCATAACCTCAAAAATAAATTCAATTTGCGCGCGCATCGTAAATATCGACAACTTCGTGGTGTCGATTTTTCGTTCGCAACTAACTTCACTTTCAAAAACGCGCGCCAAAAGAAGTATAACCTCAAAAAAATAATACGAAATGCATAAATATAATCGGATTGATGATAAATACATGAAAGAAACGTTCGTTTCGAAAATTTTATATCAATTTATGATCAGCAACGTGTACAAATTTAATAAGTTGATCAAAATGAAAGGTTAAAAAAATTGATAATCATTGCTATAATCGATTAATTCTAAATGTTCAAGAGAGAAAAAAAAATTAATTAATTGAACAATCGATACATAAAAAAAGAAAACTATCTTTATATAATTTATATTATTTAAAAAAATATTATTAGAAAAATATAAATAAGAATTATATTTGTAAATGTGTGAATGCTTATAAAAATATCGAAATAGATGATCAGGTATAATTCTTATTTATTTATTGTTTTCTTGTTCGTATTAAAAGTTTAAAGTAAACGTTTTTTTTCAAATGGAAGCTGAAATTTACGAGATAATTGGTAAGTATATTCGAATAATTTTTCTTGTAAAAAACACTTGGACTTCAATGTTGGAAGCATCACGTAATTCAATACTCCACTTCGCATGAAAGAATTTTTATTCGATGATAATATTCAATTTGGATTTACCATAAACGTACGTTGATATAATTCTTCCATTTAATTTATACGATAAATAAAATCAGGATTTACGATTAAGTTGAATTGTGTACAAAATTATTATTACCAACACCTTTAATATTTAAATGGTAATTTCATTTGTTGTAGCTTATGGTTTTAAAAAAAAATTAATGTTTCACACAATGATGGGGTTAATCGTTTATAAGTTCTGCTGTCAACGCGAAAACACTTTTTTTCTGTGGGGTCACCGGAAATGACGTCGCAATGGCTGAGTTTAAAATATTTTTCAACGAAAATTTCAGAAAATGTTCTTTAAATATGTATCTTAAATGCTATAAAAAGTTTGAATAAAAATTCCATTTTTTATATAGAAAAAAAAAATTGTTGAAAATATGCTATCTATTCCCGGTGTAAACCCATGTAACCCCTTAATATACAGAAACTAATTACTTTATAATGTTTTTTACTTTTAATTACATATAAAAATTATTGATATACCCTATCGAAAAATTAAACCCTCGAGTACAAAAAAAAAAAAAGATAAATATTATTATAATCAATTTGAAAATATAATAACGATATCTAAAACAATCCTTGAGAAAATAATTGTATAAACATTTCTTTATACAATAAAATAAAAAAGTATAATCCGTATAATCTAATAACAATCACAATCATTAATCCAACTAAAAAATAATCCAAATCCATTTGAAACGAAATCAATCGAATTGTAACATTCCAAAAATAAAACCACCAACAGTCGGATAATGATCAGTTAAAGGATTGTTTTTTTTTATCAATAGAGTCAAGTATAATACTAAAATTATTCAAGAGTACAGTATATTTAAAGGGGTTGTCATAGATGGCATCGTAGTTTCTGGATAAAGGTTGTGTATGTGGCAGTATGATAGCGTGACGATGATCTTGGGGGTGTGTGGGTGGTAGTGTTGGGGTTCGTGTGACTCGTCAGATGCGCCCTCTGATGCAGGGTGGTCATAGGTATTGATTGGTCGGAGGTTTGTAGTAGTCGTCGTGCAAAAGGGTGGCGGAATCGGCAGGCGCCATCACGCGGGTCACCGCGACCGTGGCAAAAAGAAAGGGCTGTTACTTTCTTTGTCCAGCCAGTTACCGTGATCTCACCAATACCGAAAAGATGGTAATGATGGCTGGTATGGACGACCACGAGCGCAAAGTCGTCTTAGAATTTTGTCATTTGCTTGAAAAAAGTAAGCAATTATTCAACGGGCTAAGGGATTTGCCACAATACGGACATAAGCAATGGCAGGGCTACTTTGGTCGCACCTTTGACATCTATACGAAGCTATGGAAATTCCAGCAACAACACAGGTTTAATACAAAATTATTCTATTATTTATTTATTTATTTAATCTAATTTCATTTATATTCATTTATATATAATTTGATATTATTCACATCGTTCGTTTAAATAATAATATAAACATAAAAAAAAAAAGCGATACTTTTCTGCATTCGATCGATTATATCTCTGCACCACGAGGTACTTTTTTCTCTTTTTTTTTTCTTTGCGCGTGTGTGTGTGTGTGTCTATTCTTTTTTTTCTATCCCTTCATCTTTTTAATCGTTTCTCAACATCCTACGCAAGTTACTTCGGTTAGAGAGATAGTTGTTTCTTAGAATTGAAACGTGTTGCTTACGTATCTATCAAAGTAACCTTTCCTTTTCATTAATCAATCCAATAGTGTCTTAAAGTGTATCCTATATTAACTGATATATAGTTATACAAGCTGCCACGTGATCGATCTTTCATCGATGCCTTCTTCTTCTTCTTTTCTTTATTAAAATAACATTTTTCATTCGAGGATGAAATAATTATCAAAGAGTACATAGATTGTAACACGGTTTAAATTAATCATTTTTAATTATCATTGATAATCATAAAATGTGATATTGTGTGAGAGAATAAATGGGGAAAGAAAATAAAACTAAAATAAAACTAAAATAAAACTAAAATATGCCATGTGAATAAAGTTACTCGTGGATCAACATTGGCAGCTGTTTTTTTTTTTTATTACCCCCCCCCCCACCCTTGCGGAAGAAACATTTCTATAATTTATATTTTTTTCTTTTTTTTTTTATATATTTTATATATTAATTATTTTTTTTTTCTTTTGTTGTTTCTTTTTTTTCGCTCCATCCCCTTCTTTTTTTTCGCGTTTTGTCAAAACGTGCTGGTGCATGATATTTTCGCGAATACAGTACACACGGTCGATCGGTTACCTTTGATATTTTCTAATATTATATTCTGACAATCGAAAATACACTCGGGAAGATCGTGTTGCGATCGATAATAAACAGAAAAAAAATATAGAATTAGATAGAATGAGATAGAATGAGACGCGTGTGGTTTAAAATAGGAATAATTTCTCTTATCATTTTCACGAAACATTCTGATCTGTGAATAAAAAAAAAACAACAAAAAAAAGATAGAAAAAGAGAACAAAAAAATGAGGATACGCGAGAGATAAAAGAAAAGTTAGATGGTGTGGAAATGATAAAAAAAAAATATATATATATATACCACTAACCCTCCTAGAACACGATTCCCGTAAATTGCGAAAAACATTTGTGCAACACACTTTGTACATTTTTTTGTTTTACAGCACTTGAAAATAACATAATATTTTCAACAAAAAAAAATTCAAATGACCTTAAAACCTTAAAATAATAACGCTTGTATGGTCTCAGACAAAAAAATCATTTTCTAGTAACCTATCAACTGTGTTATAGGGAAATGGGGAGGTTACCTGTATATAAAAGTAAAAAGAAAAAATAAAAATTGAGCATTAATTAATATTTGAAATATGATTATATGTTTTAGGACGATACTGGACACGAAATACGGACTGAAGAGATGGCAAATCGGGGAGATCGCAAGCAAGATCGGTCAGCTCTATTACCATTATTATTTGCGTACCAGCGAAACGAGTTATTTGCACGAGGCCTATTCGTTTTACGCGGCGATAAGGGGTCGCGCATATTACAGTCGTGCCGCGAAAGAGGACAGAAGCGATTTGATGGTTAAAAAGCTTAGATATTACGCACGTTTCATCGTCGTTTGTCTATTATTAAATCGTATGAAACTGGTAAGGGAATTGGTTCAAGAATTGGACGCCCAAATAGCCGATTACACGAGCACCTATGAACCGGACGATCAACTAGAATGGAATCTGGTCTTAGACGAGATAAAAGCATTCGTTAAAGCTGAGTCTGCTGTAGTACTACATTCGGAATCAGATCCGGTTGTCCTGAGTCATAGGCTTAGGCCACAGACCTCGCCACCTGTCGAACGTTCGCCACCCATGTGCCTATCCTTACAGGAGATCCTCATTGTCGGTAATTGCGCCGACCAGGTGAAGTTCAGTGAATTATCAATGGACATGTTCAGGATGTTGCAGACCCTTGAAAGAGAACCGAGGGACGATCCTAATCATCTTCACGATGCTTCGCCAGCCGGTAGGATGCCTTTCAGACCGGGACCTTATCCCGGTGCGGAAAACGACGCACCTAGGCGCGACAATCCGCACAAGTACCTGCTTTACAAGCCGACCTATAGCCAGGTACAGGTGTTCCTAGCAAGTGGTTTCAAGGAATTACCCGCTAATGGTGCTTTATTGCTCTATCTATCGGCCGACGGCTGCTTTTCTACCGTCAAACATCCCGAAGAAAGTGAGTCTTTAATTTTGTCATTTATCTTTTTCCCCATACTCTGTTCTCCCCCATTATCCCTTTTTTTCTATCTTCCTGATCCCTCATCCCCTTTAGCCACACGTTTTTAGCTACGACACAACCAACCACGTGTCCGTTTAAAACGCGTCAATCGGATCTTACTCCTTTTTCCTAGTCATCCCAAATAGGGCTTCTTCCCAACGATTAACTTTAGAACGTTGGCGCCATTTGGCCAACCCCCATCGACAATGAAAGAATCAGAGAGAGAGAGAGAGAGAAGAAATGATAAAATCGAGCCAAGTCGTTTTAACTCTATCCAACATTGCTCTATAAATGTATGAAACACACACACACATACACTTTGAAAAGTAACTTATCGTGTTCTTAATAACCAGCCAATTTTCTAAAGTCCCTGCCAAACACCAACCTCGTACCCTAACCCTTTTTCTGTTAGTACACGAGGTAACTCATTATACTGTCGTTTCTCGATCCCACTGATGAGCGGGGTACCACGATAGTACTCTCTGCCTTTTTAATTAGCGTATATTCGTCGCGAAAGTATCATACAGATCGGAAGAAGACATCTCAAGGACTCTGCTGCCTCCTCTTCGTGCGAGAGAGAGAAAGAGAGAGAGAGAGAGAGATGCAATGCATGCTGCACGTGCGACCGTGACCTCTTATCGTGCCGTCTGCTGGATTAACGAAATAACAAATCCAGGTCATTTAGATGGTTTCCTAATAAGAACTGACCTCGTGCATCGAAAGATACACGATTACTTGTTCTTTTTTTGTTGTTGTTGTTATTCTCTCTCTTTTATTTTATTTTTGTAACCATTATATTCCACACGTTATATTCGAATAAATATCCATCACTTCTTTTTTTCTCTCTCTCTCAAATATATTTCTCTAACTATTTTCTTATCTTTTATTTCTTTTTGTTCTTTTTGTTGTTGTTGTATTGTGTTGTGTTATTCTTTTATTCGTATATATCAAATATAAAATGCTCTTAAAGGGGGTTGGGAATGAGAAAGGAGGTTAGGGTTATCTCGCAACACTAAAGGTGTTGACTTTTGGTTTAGAAGAAATAGAAAAGAAGCTCACCCCGTTGGTGAAAAATGAAAAAGGAAAAAAAAACTGTCTTCGAATAAACGTATATACTAGTCTTTGATACGAGAGGAAAATACGACTGGGCTTTAACTAAAGCAGTGCTTATAGTTGGAACGGGAAAATGGGGAAAAAAAAAGAGAAAAAAGAGAAAAAAGAGAAAATGAAGTTCTCTGAGCGAAAGTAGAATAAGGTATTTGTGTCAGGGTCATACGGCGATGAAGATTTCAACGTATTGATAATAGTGAAATTCGTGGGTTAGGAGCCAATCGATATCGAAGTATTCGGGAATTCCCCTTTTTTTATTGGTATTCCATTTCGGCTTCCTGCTTATTAATAAATTAACATTTTTCATCTTAATCCGATTTGAAGAAAAGAAACAACTCGAAAGTTAATTTGATTCGAGTAAAGGGGTATCATTTTTTTAGAAGGATGATAGGATTTAAAAGTATCCCCTATATCTTTTTCATGCACATTTAGTTCCATATTGAAATATTGCAACAAACTGCGTGCGCATAACGCATGCTGGAATTTATTTGAATCTTAACCTATAATTACAAATTTAATATTTAAACTATTATTATTTTGTTTTTGTATAAATAGTAGAGATAAGACAGGAAATTTGGACAAAGTCAAACAAATCAGAACGTCATGTTTCGATCTTGTTCTTGTGTTTTTTCAACAATTATAAAATATATTACAATATAACCTCAAAAATATATAGCTCATCTAAACACTAAGTAAATAGATATTTAAGATTTTATATCTTGATGATCAATGTTCAGAGTCCTCTATTTATTAATGAGACATACCCCTTATTCAATTTTAATCATAATTTTCTTATATGTTTTTACATTATGCAAGATACCTTTATTAAAATTTAACGAACGGGCCACGTAAATTAATATTTTTGCTTAAATTTTGTACACTTTTCACTCACCGTTAATTTTTCATTTTATCCACATTGTATTATTTTCTTCTTGACACTATAAATTATTGTGTTATCTTCCTATTTGATTAGGAAATCAATTATTTCTATTGTTCGAAACAATGTTGATTTGATAAAACCTTAATGCATATTTATTTAATTCTCCTAAATATGCCCAGACCTGTCCATTAAATGTTAATAAAAAAATATAACAATATTGTATCTCATTTAAAAACAAAATGTCATACATAAAATATCTATGCAGTAGGGGGGCCGAAATTCTATGGCACAAAGAGATATATCTATGATTTTAGGATAAAAGGGGGTTGAGGAGAGGTTTAAAAGAAGACATGGATGAGAAAGTTGATGATTTCTTAGAAGAAATATCATCATTTAGGATCATTGATCGATATAGGTAGGCGGGAAATTGGAATGGCACGATGTTGATCAAAATTACAATCTGTTACAGTGGGGTACGACCTAGGTGGCGTGTCAACGTGCAGCAAACGGGAAGTCGAACATGGAAAAAGGCCGACGGGTGGTAAAGAACCGCACTGCCTTTATCCAGGTGACCTCTACCCGTTCACCAGGAAGCCGCTATTCGTCGTAGTAGATTCGGACAACAGCTTTGTGTTCCAACAGATACCACGTTATTTTGGGCAACCTTTGATGGTCCTTATGTCGCCCCAGGACACGCCGTCGACTTTGCGCGACGTACGGCACAGCGGTAGCCTGTTCACCCTATTTCTTCATGCCCCTCTTGCCGCCTTTTGCCTTATATGCAACGTCGGGAGCCTCGATATGTATCATTGGGAGCGTTGCCAGCGTTACATCGAGCGATTCCTCAACGAGGCCAGCTTGCTCGTAACGAACTCCCGATGTGGTATGGTATTATTCATCTTCGACAAACTATTCTTCATTCTTTTTTATTTTCTTGTATCTATATCCATTGTTTTTAGGTACATTTGTTTTGTCTTGTCTTGTCTTCTCTTGTTTTGTCTTGTTTGTTTTATTCTTTTCTTTTTAATTGCATTTTACGATCGAGATATATATAAAAGGAATCTAGGGAGACTGGACAGGGTGTTGGCTTAGATCCAGTCATATTTATCCAAGTCAAACAATATTTACACATTATTACTATTATATGATCATTGTTCTTGTTATTGTTTTATTCTATGAATTTAATTGTAATTTTTAGAATGTTTAGATGTAATTTATTTATCTAAATCAAATAATATTTATACATTATTACTATTTTATGATCATTGTTTTTGTTATTATTTTATAATATGAATTTATTGGTGATTTATGTTTAGAAATATTTAGTTATCTAAATCAAATAATACTTACATACCATTACTATTTAATTGTYWWCAKAWATWTTAYTYTKKTTTTATTATTATAATATGAAATGGTTTCATAATTATGTTCAGAAATATCTACTTATCCAAATGAAACAATACTTATACACCATTATTATTTGATTGTCATTAGATATTACTATATATATGTTATACTTACATTACTATTTTATATACTTCCATTATATACTCTTATATACTATATACTTCTTACATTAATATTATYCTTGTTATATTATTATAATATGAAATGATTTCATAATTATGCTCAGAATTATCTACTTATCCAAATCAAACAATACTTATACACCATTATTATTTGATTGCCATTAGATATTACTATTATTCTTGTTATATTATTTTAATATGAAATGATTTCATAATTATGTTCAGAATTATCTACTTAACCAAATCAAACAATACTTACATACCATTACTATTTAATTGTGATCAGATATTTTACTTTCTTTTTATTATTATAATATGAAATGATTTCATAATTATGTTCAGAATTATCTACTTAACCAAATCAAACAATACTTACATACCATTACTATTTAATTGTCATCAGATATTTTACTTTCTTATTATTAATATAATATGAAATGATTTCATAATTATGTTAAGAATTATCTATTTATCCAAATCAAACAATTCTTACACACCATTACTATTTGATTGCCATTATACATTACTATTTCATATACTTCTTACATTACTAATATCCTTGTTATTATTATTATTACAATATAAAATAATTAAATAATTCTATGTTTAAATCTAGAAACCAGCGTGCTGCAGTTCTTCGGTGACGATTTCCTGCGGTTACTTCTGGTACGTTACGTTTTCTGTGACGTTGTACTTTATCTTCATCGTTCGTTCAGAGGACGCCAACAAAGACCTCGCTGTTATCCGGCATTACCTGACGCCGAAATTCTTGAAAATCGTACTCTACGTCATCTTGTATTCGAGCTGGCCACTTGCCTAGATGCTCGCGAACATTTTCCTGACGGCCACGAACTCGCCTGACCCAGGCATTTTTCTTGCTCGCAGCCGGCCGACGACACCTCGTCGTTCTTACAGTCATCTTACCAATGCGATTACGATTACGATTACGATTACAATGACTGTAATTACAATTACAACAATAAAATCGTTACATTGAGACCTCATTAAACCGCGTCTTGCCAGTAATCGTGTATTACGCATTACGTATTCCACATTACTAAGCCTTCAAAACAACATTTTTCCTTTTTTCATATAATTCAATAATTCTGCTGCACTAATCGATTGACCTAACATTTTCAAATATCTTCAAATTTAATTGTAAAACCTCATTAAGTATAATCGTAACTTTTTTTATATTTATACAAATGTTTTTCACAAACATAAATTGTTAACCATCATTGAAGGACAATATTTTTTTTGTTTTGACCACTTAAATAACAAATAATTTAATTAAATTAAATTAAATTATTATTATTAACATAATTTTATTTTTCCTCTTTTTTATTAATTATTATTATTATTATTATTAATTTAATTTTTTTAATTTTTTCCCCATTTATATTGTAAAAGAAATTTTTGAATATCATAGCACATTATTTCATCGCATTTATTCACATTTTGTTTTATGAATTTAATCGATTTGTGCAGTGAACGACCATGGCTTTTTTTTTTTTGTTTCTTTTTCTTTTTGTATTATTACGTAGACGAATTCAATCGATTCATAGTTGCTGTTAGTTTTCGTATTAAAAATAACGGAGAGATTATTCTTGAACACTTGAGTCAAATCGTCGGAACTTCGACTAACAACTCTAAGAATATACGAGATGTTCCGTATTATCATACTGGTGTTACAAAACTAACTGGAAAATAATTCTACGTGAAAAAAAAAAAAAAGAAACTATCGAATACAATTCGTTCCGTATAAAACTTTGTTCGTTGGGTGAGTAGAGCAGAGGGGGTGGGGTGGGTTTGAAGAACAATAAGTTTAAAAATTGTTGTCGTCTAATTGTACGCCGTGAAACTCTCAACTTTTCGTTTGCAATTCTAAAAACTAAAAGAAAAAAAGAACAAATTTGTTCGATAATTACAAGTATACCTATACATGTATATATTTTTCGGCATGTAGAAAAAAATGTGACTCGCGTTACGATATATAATTTCATTAGAAATGAATAATATTAAAAAAAAATGTTTTAAACGTATATGATTTTTTTTAATACGATATAAAAGAATATTTAAATGAAATATTAAAATGTGAATAATTCAAAGTTGCGTATTGAATTTCGGAAACGTAGGAAATTATTTCTTCCACGAATTTCACATATATTCGTTTGTTAAAATATTGAATTTGTTTTTCCCTTGGCGTAAAATGAGAAGAAATGAAAAAAAAGAATAGTTTTGATTTTTAGTTTATAATAGAAAAAAAAAAGAAAAATTGTGTTCTCCGAGGAAGCGCGCACGCGAATAGCCAAACATCTGCGAGTGCGTATCCAACTGTGGTTATTTATATACAAAAAGTGGAACAAGCTACGAAGATACTACACATTTATTGACTCGAACTAAAACCGATCTCTTCTCTCGAGTATTATTACTCTGTGTTCCTGTACGAAATATTTATTCGTTAAATCGTAACACGAATCCCATTCGCGTTTTGTTTTGTTTTTTTGTTTTTAAACTTTGATTGTTGATTAATCGTATAATATTTACGTACGTATTAAAAATAATCATATCGTGTATAAGTAATAGATATATATATATATGGGAATTAATTTTTCTAAAGTGTGACAATAAAAAATACGAGACAACAGAATACAAATGAATATATGAAAGGAACGACAACGATGCCATTCCCAGATGTTAGCCATTACTAATGACTATTTTTAGTTTTCCTATATAGAAAGCATTAATAGCATCTACTCGGTATGACAACTTTGTTTGTTCCAATTAGAATTCCAATCGTTGCAAAAGTCAATGGATTAAAATTGACACGAATGAAGTTGGATCGTTTGGATTTCAAAGAATACAAAACAACAACTACTACAAAGAGATCATCAATCGAATGAACAATCGATTTATATTTTCAATAGAGTTATTGTTAAATAGTTGAAACACAGTTAATCCCAACTCATAATGGTTAGACATTCAATGTCGCGTTCGAATAAAATATTACTACTTATTTAACGTTTTTTTCAAATTTACGCGGGAA